CACTAACCAACCTGTAAAGAATGCTTATAATTAGGATAAATACCCAATGTTTGCTGTTGTAAAAACTGTTCAACTTTGGTGTTATAAAATCAAATAGCAACATATATTAAATAGTTTCTTCAAACAACTTTTAATTTTAATGTACAATGTATACACACATTTAGTATCACACTGACAGTAACATTTAACTTGAATAAATAATGAAGATGCATATCATTGCAATGAGTAAACTAAATTGCTACAGTAGTAAATTTATTTAAAAGTTGTATCATTTCAAATGTCTCACTATCCTTATGAGAGAACAAATTGTAAAACCATTTATTTTCACTGGTATGTAATTGTACTAGTTTGATGTTTGAGCCTTTGACTGGGTTTAAGTGCATGAATTTGGCAAAGAAATATTGTTCTATTGTTACAGTTCACATGCATTTAATTTAGCCGATTTTACCTCCGCGAGAGTAACGAAATTAAAACCCAATGAATAATTAATGCATGTAAAGTATTGCTCTATCATTCTTCATTTTGATTTCTAACATCAGATCGTTGTCCTGGATGAACCCAAGTAGATATCCTGCAAAGCATATTAAATTAAACCGGTTAAAAGTTAGATAATTAACATTCAATCGTTAACATGTGTTGCACAGTACACTGTGTATATTTTGAGCACAGGACATTTCCAAACGAGGATGTTGTAAATTAAGGTGTAACCATGCAATATTCTCAGGTTTGAATGGAACTGATCTCTTGCACAATTTGAAGATAATGCTCTACATATATAAAATATATAGTTTTATGCCATTTTAAAGCAAATATGGTCAGCAGACGATCATTTTGAATCTTATCCTCCAAAAAAATACAAAAATTAAGAACTAGGTTCTTTAGAAGTTATGTGACAAACCATGCAAGATGGCACTAAAAAGTTAGGAATAATTTTATGTAGAAGAGTGGTGAAATGTGTAAATTTCATAAAAACTAAAAACAGACAAGTCATAAAGTCAACAGAAAAGCCCCTAGCATGCACTTTCAAGAATTAAATGATGTATTTGGACCCAACAAGAACCCCTGAATTGAAGACTTTGATTGTGAAGTGTTGAATTCTGAATGGAAATGATCAATGCATTGCCAAGAACAGGTTAAAAATTGCTACAATTTTGAAACACAAACCACACTTACTACCCCAAAAACATAGTAGAACTCTGGTGACCTTGCCCTTTGTTATATAATATTATTCCCTTTATCATAGTTTGTTTCAATTTAATTATTATAATATTATGCATTGTCATAATTAATTTTGAATACACACACGTTTTGGGGTTGAAACAACAGTGGGAAAGCAGTCTACCGAATGTACCTGATAGATGTAAATATCTTTATTATTTGAGAAGTAAAAATGCCCTCTAGGAATAACTAGCATGTTGCAAGCTCTGCTTTGTATGCAAATGACTTCAGCCTTAAAGTATGTACCATGAATCTAAAAATAGTGTCCAGTGGAGAGAGAAGTCAACAGTATTGTTTGCCTCCTGAGAA